TTGATCTAATAAGGTCAGATCTGGTCTAGTTCCAATAAGAAAAAACAATAAGTAATAAGAATAGTTGAAGAGAACATAGGCTTAAGAAAATAATTTCCTTCTAGAAAACACATATCCCTCCCCAACCAAATGCACCCCTAGTTTCCAATATTTTTCCAATCCTTCCTATTTTTTTTATAACTTTTTCTTGTTTTTCCAATTCTCCAAAATTTCCAACTCCTTCAAGTATTTTCCAATTCATTTAAGTTTTTTCAAAATCCTTTCGATTCTTTCCAACATTAATTGAAAAATTACTTATATTTATTATTCTTATAATTTTAATTATTATTATTCTTATTATTAAAATATATTTGAAGGTACATTTTAAAAAAAATATTCACCTCTTTTATTAAATAAGGAATATAATAAAGAGAAAAATATTAATAGAAAAATTTTCATCATTGTATATATTCAAACAACATATATACATACAATAATATTACTACCATGAAATAATGATTACATTAATATTACTTCATCCCTTAATATAAAGTATATAAAGAATGAAATTCTTTAAAAATTATTCAACAAATATTAATAATTATATTTTTCTATTACATGTCTTAAAAATTGTCTTAGTGTACTATTTATGTTATTTAAGTAATAGTTTATTCAAAATGAAAGACTTTTTTATACAAAATTTCCATAAAAATAAATTATATTTTATTATAGAAATAATTTATCAATGTAGATCAGTATTTAAAAGATTTTGATCAATTAATATCTAAATTAGATAAGTTTAAACAAATTATGATCGAGAATGTAGGTACTCATTTTTTCTAATATAATTTTTCAAATAATGTTTAATTTGTTTGTTTAATTTTATAGAGATTGACACTCACATTATTAAGATAAACTTTTTAATGAGAAATATTGTTTATTTTTCACTCTAAATATTACGTAAGGAAACATTATTTTTAATTAGGTGATTTCCATGTAAAGATTTTAAATATTAGTTTTAGTTCTATATAATAAATAAAAAATCCAATTCTTTGAAAATCATTAATAATTATAATCTATACTTTATTTTAAAAAAAGGAGAAACCCCCATTTCGTTTTCTCGCTTAAATGGTCTCCACTCACAAATGATAATTGCTAAACTTGTAACGCCCCGAAACCTGGCCCAAAAGAATTAATTAAATTGTTAGAGCAATTGATTACGAATTGGGCCCAATAAGGGGTAAAAATTATAATTTGGATTTTAAGCCCAACTTTTATGTCATCTCGTAGGAAATATTTTTGTGATCGCGTCGGTTCAGACGGTTCGCGAATCGGAGTTATGGAACTCAAGTTATGACCATTTAATCAGGTATTTTGGGTCCGAAGCCCAATCCTTTTTGGAATGGGACCATTAAATAAACCTAAACCACTCAAACCTTATCCTTCTTCGTCCGTTCCTTTTTCTTCTTCCTTCTCCTTCTTCTTCTTCCTTCTTCTTCTCCTTCTTCTTCTTTCTTCTTCGTCTTTCCCGGCCAACCTCGCCGCCGGAAGCCGCCGCCCAGCCAATCGTCGCCGCCCAGCCGGTCGCGCAAGCCAGACCGTCGTCGCCCGTCGCCGGAAGCCAGCCGCTGCCTCCTTCGCCTCCAGCCGCCGTCGCTCACCGCCGACGGGTGCAGCGCCGCCACGC